TTCCTCTGCAGGTTCCAGTCAGGGAAAGATAAGTAGCAAAACCCGGCATCACAGCAATACTTGTGTTTTATCCCCTTTCTCCATCTGGTGCCTTTTAAACAACTTGGTATGCTTCTGAAATGGGTTCTCCATTGTCTTGCAAGTCATTAGCATTTAAAACCCCCAGTTGGAATCCCAAGCACAATTTTCTCTGCATTCCAGGTTCAGTATTGTCTTCTCAAGTATTAAAAGGGAGCCATCTCCAAGTGTGTTCAGTGTCTTTTGAGGGAAAGATTCCTGAAGGAGGTCCTGTGTTCCTTGAGAATTGTTGTTATCACTTCTATTAGCTTTCTTTTGATTTCTCCTCCTTGAAAGAGTATTGGTGGAACCAAAGTACCTACAGTTTCTCACTCAGCATGGATTCTAAATACTAAAGACCCGACCTCCGTGCTGACTTTCTACTCCTGCATGGACTCCACACTGAGCAGGCATGCAATGGAAAGACAGTGCTCTATTAGGCATGTTCCTACTAGTCGGCAGAAAATTATTCAATTATAATCTCACTAATGATGTTTTCTCATAAATATTGTAATTTTCTGAGTCCCCAATAAGTCATTGATAACTGTTCATTTCCCCCAGTTTGTGTTTATATTTGTAGTCGCTCACAGTTTTGGGCTATTATGACAACAGGGTTTTCAAGCAAGTAAAGCACATGAAATCCCCACCTCCTACCCAAACTGCCTAGACAATGCAAAACCATCTTGTGGGCTTGTCTAAACTAATTTAGGAGTGTTCCTTTAAAACACAGAGCAGTAGGTAGGCTTCCCAAATCTGAGTATTAAATGAGAGTTAAGTACAGTTACTTTAAGTTTGAAGCAGATACTATAGTGTGTCGGCACAATGAGTCAACATAAAGGGAATGGACAGGTGGTAATGCAGCAGACGTAACATCTGGGGATAACTTTGACATTTTTTGGATCTCCAGAGTGCCTTTTAGGCAGGCATGTTTGCCTCGCTGGCATCTCCTGCAAGCAGTCTGCCATGGTGCAGCAGAGCAGAGGCTGGACCAAAGGATGCCAAATGCTCTGAATGTAGGCATGGGCCAGGGCCCTAGGTGTGTTGTGTGTACTGTTGTAATCCAGCCGTTTGAGAACAATGTGCAGTCTGTGTCTTTACTAAGCAAGAGCATCTCTAGATGGAAAGAATCAGCACTTCTGAATTCCTGCTACATCAACAGGGAACATCAGGCATGGCCACAAACCATCTCGGGGGGACCTAAATTGCTCACAACACCTAATTCAGGTAATTCTCAAACAAGTACTCAAATTTCAAAATACTTGTGTCTTTCAAGAAACATAAGGTAGAAATATTTTCTTAGACAATCTTGGCATAAATCTGTTTTAGTCAGTAGATTTTGATTCTAGGATATGAATCATGTTGTCCAACTATTATATAAGTCTGTTCTTTATTTACTAAATACAGTTTCCTTCCAACACTCCTCCATAAACCTCAGTTACTTCTATAAGCAAGAACCCAGGGGGAGACTCATTTTGAGTTACTTATTAAGTGAGAAGTAAAATGAAAAAGAGAAGGAAAAACATCTTGATGTTATAGGTGTTTGATTAAGAAGTCTTGACTATCACATTGTAACTGTAATCACATCTATTCTGAAACTTAGAGCAGGGGATGGGAGTAATGTCCCCTTTTAAGATGACAGTTGATAATAGCAATTCTAATCTCTCTCTTCTCACTCTCACATGCAGAGCTACTCCCATATGCATATATATATATATAAAAACTCTAATATGCATATATGTAATCTCTCTCTGCACAACACACACACACACACACACACACACACACAATTAATCTTATATAGCTAGGCAAAAAGAATGTTGAAAGATATTTTAATAATCCTCTTTTATATTAAAAGAACAAATCATCACTGTAATAGAATCAGTGGATGAAACTTAGATCTTTACACTTGCTAATTTTTTTTTATCCACCAGAAATAAGAGTGCAGATAGTTATTTTTATATTGGAAATGCAAAGGATAGCTCCTGGGATGTGAAAAGTCTTTCTAACTCTCTCTTGAAAACTCCGGGTTTGAACCTAGGGAAGTCTTAGGACAACTGGGACTACAAAGACAGGTAGGAAAGGAAACTAAATGTTATCCTGAGTAAGGGACATTTTTGAAAGAGCAGAAGACAAGGCAGAACAAAGGGGAACCATGCATTCCTTCTGATGAATGAGAGTTGCTGTGCACAGTCCCTGGGGAGAAGGCACTTTCTGGAACTTCCTGCAGGAAATTTAATCTCAGAGTGGAAGAGGACAAGGGTTGATGCTCAGGATTTCCAAGAGTACATGAAGGATTAGCAGAACAGCAGAATAGGTAAGCATGGATGTGACATTGTTCAGAGAATAGGGACAGGGCTGGGCTCTCTCATCCATGTGTGCTTTGACCATCAGTGAGCAATCCCTGCTGACTGGAGGGAAGATATCTGTACAGCTCCACCCTCAACTGGAAACCTCATCTAAGATCTGGGAGTATGGAAGAAAACTGAACTGAGTTAGGGACCATCTAGAAACTGGCTCCAAAAATCCTGAACTGATCATGTGAGGTTTCAATTAGAATTAAACAATACAATGTTACTTGCTCTATTTACAGTCACATGACTACATTCATCAAGTGTACAGGGTTCTCACAGTATGTTCACCACCATTAAAGGCGGCTCTTAGCACCTCTTACTCTACAGGGAAGGTTTTGTTGGCATTACCTCTGCCTGACAATCTTGAAGACATAAGAAAATGTGTAGAAATTTCAGGTTGTGACAGCTGTGGAGCCTCCATGGGACTGGACTAGGTCTTCTGCATAAGTGAGACAGTTGTGTAGTTTGGTCTGCTGACGAGGCCCCCTGGCAGTAGGATCAGGATCTATCCCCAGTGCATGAGATGGCTTTTTTGGAGCCCATTATCTATGGTGAGATACCTTGCACAGCCTTGATGCAGGGAGAGGGGCTTGGACCTGCCTCAACTGAACATACCAGGCTTTGCTGACTCCCCATGGGAGGCCTTACCTTTTCGGAGGAGGGAATTATGGGTGGGTTGTGTGTGTGGGGGAGGCTGGCGGGGAGGAGCAGGAGGAGGGCAGAGAGGGGAATCTGTGGTTGGTATGTAAAATGAATGAACATTTCGAGTTGTGAAGGATAACCGACTTAGCAGTAGTTAGCGGGTGGGGATGGGAGGGTAAGTTCTGTTTCTTGGCATCTACTTTTATCACTGCAGCCGTCACTGCTGCTAAGTTTGTCAGGAAGAGAACTGTAAGTTAAGTGGCAAGTTCTCCTCATAGTAGCCGTGTCCCAGCTACGTAAGCCAGAAAGATCAGCACAAAGTGGAGACCTATTTGTCTTGCTTATTGCCAAATCTATTTTATCTGGACAGTGCTTGGCAAATATATGCTCAAAAATATTTGTTAAATAAGTGAGTGAACTTAACTTTCCTGGCTCTATTTCATAGATTTTGGACAATTCATTATAGACCTGTGAACACTGAGTAGAACAAAGGAGATAATCCAAATGTCTTTTGATAGTATAAATCCTACTTATAGTATATATATATATATATATATATATATATATATATATATATATAGACATAAACTAAGATTCCCATAGAGCCTGTACAGTTTTTTTTGTAAAGTCCCAATCCACTCTCCACTGTGTGTGTGTGTGTGTGTGTGTGTGTGTGTGTGTGTGTGTGTGTGAAGGAGGGAGGGAGGGAGGGAGGGAGAGAGAGAGAGAGAGAGAGAGAGAGAGAGAGAGAGAGAGAGAGAGAGAGAGATGGAGAGAGAGAATGGATCTGTATGAGTATGGTCCTGTGCATGTCAAGGCACATGTGTGGTGGTCACAGGACAATTTCAAGTGCTGGCCATTTCCTTCCAAGTTGTTTGTGGCAGGGTCTTTTTGTTGTTGTCTGCTGTGAATGCCAGCCTAGCTGGTCCCTGAGCTTCCAGGCATTTCCCATTTCTGCTTCCATCTTACTGTAGAAGTACCATCATTTTTGGCTTTATATGAGTCCTGTTCGTTACGAGTTTTGAACTCAGGCCTTTACACTCGAGTAGCAAGTACTTCAAATATACTTCCCTGGACGTGATGAAGAGCCACAAACATTTCAAGAATCAAATGTGACCCTAAAACATGATTAGTGCAGTAATTTTCATTTCACAATAGCTGTATTTATGTTGTCACGCTGATAATTTATTCATTATCATGCTTATTTAAGGTTTGTGGCAATAATTCTCCATTTCGACAATGGCCATCTAGCCTCTAGTTTAGACAGATGATTGATATTGCTTCTTCATGTGGGTAAGCGCCATCTACTTTCTGAAACTTTATGCCTCACCAGCTTCAAGATCTCCTAGGTGACTCATGGCACTGCTGGTATGTCTCACATGTCCTTCCCTAAGCATGGCCCTCAGTCACGCCATGGACATCCATAAGTAAAGACAGGGAAATCAGCCATCTGGTCCCACTTAACACAGCCTGGAAACATGGGGCAAAATATATGTGGTGGGTTGAATAACACATCCGGGTGGTTTAGGGAAGGGTAGAAGCTCTTAAACTTGAGGTCCATTTTGCAAAGAACAAAAAGAGTTTGATGACAATAGGGTGAATCTGAGTGCTGAAGAGAGGCATGGACAATTTTCAAAGGTGAACTTTTAGTCTCTATGCTCACACTGCAACATTAAGATATAATCCTGGCTGGGGTAAGTAGAAGTCCTCCCAAAAGTAGCTACTCGTAACTTTGAAACAAGGAAACTAACATGCTACTTATGAAAGAGTATAAAGGGAGTATAAGATTAGGGGCCCTGTGATAAAGTCTAGTTTAGGTAGGGATACTTTCTAAGTCATACTTATAGATGGCATCTGACCATTTTCCCTGATGCTCACCAAAGCTCTTTTTGAAGCCCCTATGTTCTGCTTGCAATCAAGCTGATTCCATCCATTTCAAACCCTTCTTACCTGTTTCTGTTCTTCTCCAAGGCCATCCCACATTGAAGCTACAATCTTAGAGACTTCACCAAAAGTAGCATTTGGATTTTGGCCCTTGATGGCTGCCTGAGTGTCACGAAAGAACAAAGCATAGGCAGACACAGGCTTCTGGGGTTCATTAGGGTCCTTCTTCTTCTTTTTTTTTGGAGTTTTTGGTTTTTTTCCCATATCAGAGGCAGGCCGCTTCTCTCCACCATTGATCTGAAATAAAAATCAACACAGGTTACAGAGGAACTGAGAAAATTGTTGGCTGAATCATATTTCTATTCTTCCTTGACACAGACACAGAATGCCACCCAGACAACCCCCCCACACAGATATTTCTACAAGAATAGAGGGAATTGCTGGTGTCATTTTATACATAAATCTTCATATTTTGTTCGGGGTAGAACTCAATGGTAGAATGCTTGTCCAGCGTGCTCAAGTTCTTAGATTTGATCCCTAGCACCACAACACAACAAAAAAAATACAAACAAAAAGACAATGTATGCATTTCATGTAGTCTCCACATTCATCCTTTGCTCAGTTTAATTGACCTGGCTCTAACATCTTTGAAGTCTTTTGTAATTTTCACTGGGTATGCCATGCCTAGCTGGAGCGTCCATGGTTTTACCTAACTTTGCTTTCAATCTTCTGTAGAAGTGCTGGGGTTACAAACATGTGATAACACATCTGCCTTTACATGAGTTCTAGGGATTTGAACTCAGGTTCTCACATGTGTCAGCAAGCGTTTTACTACTGTTAAATGCTACTCCTTCTCTCCCTTCATCCTTTCTCTTTCACTGTAGTTGTGACAACAGCAACCTTCTCTTGTAGTGATCTTATTGGGCTTACCTTCTTCTGTGGAGTTCTGACTTAGCTTCCTAATTATGACTTTAAACATTGGGTCAGCATCTCTAACAAAGCTTAATTATTCTTGATTTTAACTTAGGCTGATGGATGTGGTTGGGGGTAGGAATCCAGCAAGGCTTATGGTTTACAGAGTGGACAGGCTCTAGGATCTAGAACTTTCTGCAATGATGGCAAAATTCTTTTTTTTTTTAATTAAGAATAATTTTTTTATTCAAAGATCCCCCTTCCCTCCTCCCACCTCTCCAGCCTCCCTCTTCCAACCCATCTTCCATTCCCTCCTACAAGAAAGTAAGGCCTTCCATGGGGAGCTACATTTAGTAGAGGCAGGTCCAAGCCCCTCCCCCGCCTCAAGGCTGTTTGAGGTGTCCCATCATAGGTAGTGGGCTCAGAAAACCCTGCTCATGCACCAGGGATGAATTCTAAGCCTACTGCCAGGGGGCCCCTTAATCAGATCAAGCTATACAACCATCTCACTTATGCAGAGGGCCTAGTCCAGTCGCATGGAGGCTCCACAGCTGTTGATCTAAATTTCATGAGTTCCTACTAGTTTGGTTTGGTTGTCTCTGTAGATTTCCCCATCATGATCTTGATACCCTTGATCATAGAATCCCTCTTTTCTCTCTTCGACTGGACTTGTGAAGCTTGACCTGGTGTTTGGCTGTGGATCTCTGCATCTGATTCCATCAGTTACTGGAGAAAGACTCTGTGATGACGGTTGGGGTATTCACCAATCTGATCACTGGGGTAAGCCAGTTCAGGCACCCTCTCCACTATTGCTAGTAGTCTAAGCTGGGGTCATCCTTCGGGATTCCTGGTAACTTCTCTAGTACCCGGTTTTTCCTATCCCCATGATGTCTCTCTCTATCATGGTATCTCTTTCATTGCTCTCCCACCCCATCCCTGTTCCAGCTTGACCATTCCGTTCCCTTATGTTCTCATCTCCCATCCCCTACCCTCCATTGCCCACCCCCCTCATCCCCAGTTTACTCAGGGAGATCTCATCTATTTGTCTTTCGCAGGGCGATCCATGCATCCCTCTTTGGGTCTTCCTTGTTAGCTAGCTTCTCTGGAGCTGTGGATTGTGGTTTGGTTATCCTTTGCTTTACATCTAGTATCCACTTATGAGTAAATACCATATTTGTCCTTCTGAACCTGGGTTACCTCACATAGGATGATATTTTCTAGTTCAATCCATTTGCCTGCAAATTTCATGATGTCATTGTTTTCCTCTGCTGAGTAGTATTCCATTGTGTATATGTACCACATTTTCTTAATTGATTCTTCAGCTGGGGGGCATCTAGGTTATTTCCTGGTTCTGGCTATTGTGAACAGTGCTGCTATGAACATAGTTGAGCATATGTCTCTGTGGTATGATTGAGCATTCCTTGGGTATATACCCAAGAGTAGTATCATTGGGTCTTGAGGAAGATTGATTCCCAATTTTCTGAGAGACCGCCACACTGATCTCCAAAGTGGCTGAACCAGTTTGCACTCCCACCAACAGTGGAGGAGTGTTCCCCTTGCACTACATCCTCTCCAACATAAGCTGTCTTCAGTGTTTTTTATCTTAGCCATTCTGACAGGTATAAGATAGTATCTCAGAGTCATTTTGGTTTGCATTTCCCTGATGACTAAGGATGTTGAGCAATTCCTTAAATGTCTTTTGGCCATTTGATATTCTTCTGTTGAGGATTCTCTGTTTAGCTCTGTAGCCCATTATTTTTAGTAGGGTTGTTCATTATTTTGATGTCTAGTTTCTTGAACTCTTTATATATTTTGGAGATCAGCTCTCTGTCAGATGTAGGGCTGGTGAAGATCTTTTCCCATTCTGTAGGCTGTCATTTTGTCTTATTTACTGTGTTGTTTGCCTTACAGAAGCTTCTCAGTTTCAGGAGGTCCCATTTATTAATTGTTGCTCTCAGTGTCTGTGCTACTGGTGTTATATTTAGGAAATGGTCTCCTGTGCCAATGTGTTCAAGACTACTTCCTACTTTCTCTTCTATCAGATTCAGTGCAACTGGTTTTATATTGAGATCTTTGATACACTTGGACTTGAGTTTTGTGCATGGCGATAGATATGAATCTATTTGCAATCTTCTACATGTTGGCATCCAGTTAGATGGCAAAATTCTATAAGCTACACTGTCCTATTTGGCTTTCACAAGCTATATGATGGTAATGAATGCTTAAGTAAATGAGAGGAGTTGTATCCTTTTTCAAATTCAACTAGAGACCAGTACCCAATGACTAATACATTGACGGCTTTACCCACAAAATTTAGATTCCAGAAATTTTTGGAACAATTTAGATCAGCATTTCACTCTGTTTAAAAATAGATTCAATATTTCTCCACTCTTCTGAGATTATTTAAATTGTTATTCTGACACAATCATAAAAGCTATACTGAGTGTGCTTAAGGTACCTACATGTGAATAACATATTTGTTGTTAAGTAAAGATGATGTCATTCAATCCATCTCTGTAAAATAAGGATTCTAGAGAGGATTTCTTTACAGCTCTAAAGTCTTATAACTTGAAAGGAATATATAATGTTGCTGCCTGTGAAGATCCCTGTTCACAAGGGCCTGTCCCACTGACTTGAATCCTGTTACACGATCTCCCAGCAGTGGCCACTCTCACAGCTGTTCTGACCCTTACCTTCTGTGGCTGTTTTGTGCTTTTCCTACTTGTGGATACTGTATGACTTATTCACATAACACAATTGGTGATGCAGGTGTGTAAGATAAACCCCACTGTGCATAGAACACACATTCAGTCAGGAGTCCTACGGATATATCAGAAGACTTAGGCTCACACCTTCCCTCAGTTAACCATCAGCTCTGTTGTCTTTCTTAAAGCAATTTTCCTGAGCTCCAATTTTCTACCATGAGTTAGTTTCAGATCTATTTTTTATAATTACTGTAATGTACATATTTATATATTTTGAAACTTTAAAAGCATATTCAAATAAAGAAATGCAAAAACATCATCTTTGTTTTTAATAATGTAAAATTAGTTTGAAAGATTTGTTTAAGTACCAATAAGAAATATGAAAAAAATCTTAGTGAATTCTTTGGCTTTGTTTTCATTTGAGAAAGATAGAGACCTGAGAATGTTAGTTAAAATGACAATTGATGATTGCCGTACGTGGGACAGCTGATTTTCTACAGGGATTTGGCACCTGAGTGGCTATCCATGGTTCTACTACATGGAGCATACACGCAGCACTTAGTGGACCTAGTGGGTTTCAAAAGAGTACATAAAGTTGGGAGGTGTGGTAGTTTGAATAAGAATGACCCCATAGATTCATACATTTGAATGTTTAGTCACTAGAGAGCATAACTGTTTGAAAGGATTATAAGGTTAGAAGGTGTGGCCTTCTTGGGGGAAGTGTGTCACTGGGGGGGTGGGCTTTGAATTTTCAAAGCCCATTCTAAGCAAAAGTCTCTCTCTGCTGCCTGCAGACCCAGATGTAGAACTCTCAGCTACATCTCCAACAATATGTCTGCCTGCATGCTGCCATGTTTCCTGCCATGATGATAATGATTAACTTCTGAAACTGTGAGTCAGTCCCCAGTTAAGTGCTTTCTTTTATAAGATTTGCCTTTGTCATGGTGTCTCTTCATAGCAATGGAACAGTATTAAGACAGGAAGGAAAGTGAGAGAGGGGACAGGAGAGGAATTAGACAGAGAGACTGAGGGAGTTAATCACTGTACATTAAATGTATGAAATTACTGAACAATAAAAAAAAGTTCTGCTTGAAAAAAATAGAAATTGGCTACTCTGAAATTGTCTACTCCAGGAGATCAAAGGACCCCATAGTGACACTATGTTCTGAACCAAGTTAAGGTATTCTAGATTACATTAGTCTATAATCTGAATGATGATCCTATGAAACTGCCAAGCCTCCTATAATTCTGTCAGAAGAGAAGGTCAAACATGGCTGCCCATGGAGAAGCTTTTAACAATACACCTAGGCATGGGATGCTGATCTCAGTCAAAACATCTCAATTCCATTCGACTACTTGACACATAAATGTACTGAAAGAGAAACAAGCTACTCTTTTCTCTCTGCTAAGACTACACATGCTCATATTTTCTTCTTTTTATAACCAATTCCTCAAGCACTTTTCTGTGCTGGCTGTGCACTGTCTCTTATCATCACTTCTTGGTGCTTCCAACTCTCGTAGCTTATCATAAAGTCACCATTGCCTTCACTGAATAACCCAAGTTCCTCGGGAAGGTGCTTCTCTTGGTCTTAGGACACCAACCCCGAGTTTCTTCTCTTATTTTGCTGGCCTTGGTGGTTTTAGAATCATTTTTTTTGGCTCATCTTTCGCTGTATGGCA